CCGTTCATGCTCTGTCTCTCTCTGTCCCAAAAATAAATAAACGTTGAAAAAAAAAATTAAAAAAAAAAAAAGAAAGTAAAAAGACAATCCAAAAAATGAGAGGAAATTGTTGCAAATCACTTGTCTGATAAGAGATTTACCTAGAATATATAAAGAATTCCTACAACTCAACAACAACAAAAAAAAACAATTTAAAAATGGGCAAGGGGCACTTGGGTGGCTCAGTTGGTTAAGCATCTGTTGATTTCGGCTCATGTCATGATCTCATGTGTGAGATTGAGCCCCTAGTTGGTCTCTGCACTGACAGTGCAGAGCCTATTTGGGATTTGCTCTCTCTCCCTCTCTCTCTGCCCCTTCCCTGCTCCAGTGCACATGCATGCTCTCTCTCTCTCTCTCTCTCTCTCATTTAAGTAAAATAAAAATGGGCAAAAAATCAAATCGACATTTCTCCAAAAAAGATATAGAAATGGCCAATAAGTGCATGAAAAGCTACTCAACAACATTAACCACCATGGAAATGGAATAAAAAAAACAATGAGGGGCGCCTGGGTAGCTCAGTCCGTGAGCCAACTCTTGATCTCTCCGGTAGTGAATCAAAGCCCCACATTGGGTGTAGACCTTGCTTAAAAAAATAAACATTTGGGGCGCCTGGGTGGCACAGTCGGTTAAGCGTCCGACTTCAGCCAGGTCACGATCTCACGGTCAGTGAGTTTGAGCCCCGCGTCAGGCTCTGGGCTGATGGCTCAGAGCCTGGAGCCTGTTTCCGATTCTGTGTCTCCCTCTCTCTCTGCCCCTCCCCCGTTCATGCTCTGTCTCTCTCTGTCCCAAAAATAAATAAAAACGTTGAAAAAAAAATAATAAACATTAAAAAAATTTTAAGGGGCACCTGGCTGGTTCAGCCAGTGGAGCGTGCAACTCTTGATATTGGGGTCATGAGTTTGAGCCCCGAGTTGGGTACAGAGATCACATAAAAAAATAAAGTCTTTAAAAGAAACTTTTTTAAATGAAATTTCACTAAATACCCATTAGAATGGCTAAAATCAAAAACACATATAATAATTAGGGTTAATGAGGATATGGAGAAATTAGAACTCTCATACATAAAAGATCAAACAGTGAACCCATGACTCAGCAATTCCACTCCTAGGTATATACAAGTAAAACCTTGGTTTGCGAGCATAATTTGTTCCAGAAACCTGCTTGTAATCAAAAGCACTTGTATATCAAAGCGAATTTCAAGAACCATTGGCTCAGTTGTGATCATGTGACGTTGGGCGTCACGTACTGCTCATATTGCAAGACATGGCTTGTTTATCAAGTTAAAATTTATTAGAAATGTTTGCTCATCTTGCAGCACACTGGCAGAACAAGTTACTCGCAATCCAAGGTTTTACTGTATGTACCCAAGTGTGTCCATACAAAACCTTGCACACGAATATTTATAGAAGCACTACTCAATAGCCAGAAGGTAGGCACAACCCAAATGTCCATCAGTTGATGATGAATGGATAAAATGTGTATCTGTACAATGGAATATTATTCAGTCATAAAAAGGAATGAGGTAGTGGTTGGTGCTACAACATGAACGAACTTTGAAATCATTACGCTAAGTGAAAGAAGCCAGCCACCAAAACCCATATACGTACAATTCCATTTATATGAACTGTTCAAAATAAGCAAATCTATACAGACAGAAAGTAGATTCGTGGCTGCCTTAGAGCTGGGGTAGGGGTGGAGGGAAGTTGGAAAAAGATGGGGAATGGTTGCTAACGGGTTTGGCATTTCTTTTAGGAGTGCTATAGACACTAAAAATAGTGATTAGACCAAAAAAAAAAAAAACCCATTAAATTGTATACTTTAAGTGGGTGAACTGTGTGGTATGTGCAATATATCTCAACAAAACTGTTATTTTTATTTTAAAAAGTGTGAACTCCTACCACCTGTTTCAAAATTACCAGACTGCCTGTAATCAGAATCTATCAGAATCTATCAGAATTCTATCAGATTGCAAGAATCTTTGGTAGGCAGGACCCAGCTCTGTATTTTCTCGGAGAACACTGAATGAAGTTCAACGTAACACAATGCCCTTACAAGACAGTGATTCAGAGCCTTGTGGCCCCCAGGCTTCCTGAAATGAATAAAATGGAAGGTCTGTAACTCACTCTGAGAGGGCAAAGGCCTGGGGGTTGGGTAGGGGGGAGAACTGAAATCCCTGTCCTGAAGTTCTTTATTAATTGCTTCTTTCCCCAAGTCTAAACCCCGTGTTGTCAGAAAAAAATCTGACATCAGAAAGGGGAAGAAGGTGTGGGGGAAGGGAGAGGAAGACTACCCCCCCCCCCCCACCTTCAGGCTCCCAGCCACTGCTGTGAAGAGCTCTTGAAGGAAATGAGCTGTTTGTTTGAGTTTGTGTCTGCAACAGAAACATTTGCCAATCACTTGTGGTTTTTCAAGAACCTGGGAGCTGCTTGCGAACCATTTCTGGAGATCCACTTATGTCCACCTTCTTTATCGGCAGATAAAGGAGCTGTAAGTCAGCATTTACGACATCTGAGACCAGAGAGCTGGCACTAAGATATCAGCCTTTAAGGGTCTAGGGGTTGATTTACACACTGTCCTTTCTTGGATTTTCCGCCTTTGTGCCAGATGTTTTTCTATTTGCACCATCACCTGTAAGATGGATGAGGTATAAACATGGAACAGTCAAGCTTTCCCCAGCTTAATGCTAAAGTGAAAGATTTTCTGGGGTGGGTTCAGAAACTATTAGCTGAAATGGTGTTGTGAGTTGTCTGTGTACTTCTTTATCTGTGTTAATATCCCATAGGACTGTCTGCTTCTAGCTGAGATTTTCAGACCTGGGCATTCATAAGAATCATCTGGGAACTTTCTAACGCAAGACTGAAGCCACCCCTAGGAGTCTGCATTTTAATAGCAAGTGATTCAGATGTATAGACCACATGTGGGAAAAGTGATCTGAATTCTACCTTTTGTCTCTTCCCCTCCTGGTCCTTCCTCTTCCTCCCCTCCTTCCCCAAACCCAGGACTTGAAATAGAAGAAACCCTGCAAATCCAATGCTCCAAAGATAAAAAGGTATGACTCTTAAGACCTCACGATGTTGGAACAAATCAGGCTATGACATGTAATCAGATGAAAGAGTTCCACCTTGATTCATGTGAAATGCTTCATCCTCAACACCTCAGTGACAAGTGGGGCGGGGTGCACCTACGATACTGTAATGCTCGGAAAACAAATTAATGAGAGCTTAATTAGGAGGTAATTGCCCAGTTACTTGCAGATGGAAGCAGTTCTTCCTAACTGTAATTTTGGTTGTTGATGTTTTCCTTCTAGACAGGGGCCTGTCGGTAGACTCAGCCCTGGCTTCTCCATCTTGCCCAAAGAGTACAGAGCAGTTGTTCCAAGAAACCAGTGGGGCCCAGGTCAGCATACTCTGTCTTCTGTGCCAGCCCCTGCAGGAAACATGGGTTGGTTATAACCAGATTAGGGCAACTGGGACCCAGTCCCCTCTATTTTCCTAAGTCACCAGCATCTCCCCCAGGAGAAATGAGGAACTGATCCAGGGGTGGAAGGCTCACAGAGCCCACGCAGTCCTATCTTATTCGTGGCTGCCAGCCCCCACCCCCCCCCCCCCGACCCCATGGAAACCTCGCCTACCTTCACAGGCGGTGCTTTGTGGAGACCACCCTGGCTCGCTGTCCTCTTCACCCTCCTGCTACATGACTGCACTCTTCTCAGCCCGAGAGGGTTGTCAGGGCTTCTTCCAGTCCTGAAAACCTTGGATTCTGTCATCCTAAGGAATCCCAAACTGGATCATTCAGCGACTAGCTCTCTTTCCTCTTCACCTCCAAGCTTGATTGACTAGGGAGAAAAATCTGGCTTCCTACCCCCTGACTCCATAATCCAAATACCCTTACCTGAGGCCTGTGGTTGTCCTCAGCCTGCTAGGAAGATTAGGGGGGTAGCATTGTGCCAGGAGCAGTGCCAAGTGCTCCGTGAGTATTCTCATTCCATCCTCCCAACCATCCTTTGAGGCAATAGTTCTCTCCCATTTTACAGGTGAGAACATCAAGCGTCAGGTCAAGTCACATGCCCCAGGTTATGTAGCTCTTAGCAGCAGACCCAGGACAGGTTCCCAGGCCCCTTTGCAGCTGAAACTTGTACAACCAAAATACCTTACCTGGCTCCCAAGGAGCAATCAGACTCCAACAGATGGGAGCAACTTGAGTAAATTAAACCCAAGGAAAGAAACGTCCCCTCCCTGCTCTTCTGAACCAAACTGCTGTGAATTGCCTTGCAACTGACTGGAAAGCCTGCTAGGCTCACAAGTAAATTACAGACCTGTTCCAGGGGCTGGTGTATCGAGTGATTGGGAGAAAAGGAAGAATGTGTTCAAGGTCATAAGATGATGGGGGGCGGGGGGGAGCAAAAGTCTCTAAATACTGGTGACCTCTCAAGCTAGCTGGCTCTGAAAGGTAAGGCAGGACCTGGCAAGCACAGACTCTGTAGTCCTAATCATGGCTCTGCCGCCTATCCCCCAGGAATAGAACTCAGAGAACACCCTGTCCTGCCTGCTCCTGGAGAGACAGGAAGCAAAGCTGCGGTTTACCAAGTCCTGCTGGAGGGAGTAGAGAGTCGGCTTCCTCCTGGGCTCAGAGACTCCTGCAGAATTATTTCCAGAACCTTCCTCAGCCCAGCTGCCTGCACGCTACCAGTCCTCACAGTGGAATTTGCTGTTCCTATGACAACACTCCTGCCGGCTCCCTCCCCCAGCTCACCTACATCCCTGTGACCTCGTGGAAAGGCACATTCTCGGGCATCCAGACCAGATAAGGAGGGTTTTGCAGTCTCTCTGGAAGCATGGTGGTTAAGAGCACATGTTTTGGAGTCAACATGCCTGAATACTGCTGTTTGGTCAAGCCATTTAATCTCTCATTGTCTCAGTTTCCTCATCTGAAAACGGGGTGAGTAGTAATACCTATCTCATAGGGTGTTTTCCAGGAATAAGTGAGAAAACAATTTGTAAGGAACACATGGTTCCTAGTCCACAGAAAGAGGTAGCTTATAATGTTATTTGTATTTTTGCTTCTAAGTGTTAGGTTCCCAAGCCCCACCTCAGCATCCTAGTTTCCCTAATGCCATTTCAAGTCAAAGAATCTTACAACTGGAAGAGACCCTAGGGGTGCCTGTGTGACTCAGTCGGTTGAGCCTCTGACTCTTGATTTCAGCTCAGGTCATGATCCCAGGGTTATGGGATCAAGTCCCATGTCAGCTTCCATGCTCAACATGGAGCCTGCTTGGGATTCTCTCTCTTTCTTCCTCTGCCCCTCTCCCCCTTTCCCCCACTCACGCTCTCTCTCTCTCTCTCTCTCTCTCTCTCTCAATCTCTCTCTAAAATAAAATTTTAAAAAAGAAAGAGACCCTAGAAGTCACCTAAGTATTTTTTCTTTATGCAATTTTCATATATATCTCTAAGAATGAAATAAAACCAGTAAAGAACTTAGCACCTGCCCGGGATATGTTTAATAAGTGTTAGGGTGTGTGATAGTTAAGGCTATAGGTCACCTTGACTGGATCATATGATGCCCAGACATCTGGTTAAACATTATTTCTGGGTGTGTCTATGATGAGAGTGTTTCCAGAAGAGACTAGCATTTGAGTGGGTCAACTGAGTAGAGTGGATTGTGGATTAGGTGGGCATCCTTCAATTCTTTGAGGGCTTGCACAGAACACAGAAATGAAGAAAGGTTGAATTTGCTCTCTGCCTGACTGTGTGAGTTGGGACACTGATCTTCTCCTGACCGCAGCACGCCTGGCTCTCAGGGGCACCTGGGTGGCTCAGTTGGGTAAGCATCTCACTTCAACTCAGGTCATGAGCTCACGGCTCGTGAGTTTGAGCCCCATGTCAGGCTCTGTGCTGACAGCTCAGAGCCTGGAGTCTGCTTCAGATTCTGTGTCTGCCTCTCTCTCTCTGACCCTCCCCCACTCATGCTCTGTCTCGGTCTCTCTCAAAAATAAACAAACATTTTTAAAAAATATTTTTTAAAGAGAAGAGCCAGAAGACAATTAGAGAATAGTCGAGGGCCTAACTGTGTGGTATCTTCTGTGTTCTTAGATGGGACTATTACCACAGCTGAACAGAGGAAAGAGATTCTCTCCCTTTTTACAAATGACCCAGAAGAGACATATTCAAATAGTGTTGGCTTTTAAAGAATAAGGATATGTGCTTATGTTGAAAATCGTCTCATCACTCAAAAAGCCTTTAAATTACTTTAATGCCTTCAGTATTGGCAAATACTGGGCCTCAAATGTTGGGGTAGGATGTTTGGGAAATAGCCAAATGCCATTCAAACTCAAGTCTGGTGGAAAATGTAATCTCTAGCTGCATTAAAATGGAGCTATGACAGAATGAGGAATGACAGTGGGGTGAGGACACTAGTTTCTTCCATGTGGCCCCTGAGCCAATTCTGAAGGCGTTTCCAGAGAGGACTCAATTCCGCATGTGCCCTTCCTCACCTGCACCCACCCTCTGGGTCTGCTCTCCTCCCCCAGGAGAGAGAAGTTGAGAGAAGTCTGAGGCACAGAGTCACTTCTATTCTCCACTAGCCCATATGTCCTAGGGACCCTTCCCTGGGAGGTCTCAGCCATTAAGCAAAGATCTACATTCTCACTTCCTCCTCCTTTCCCTCCATCCTCCCTCCCTGATGTGAGGAGACCGCAGAACTTACTACGGGGATGCACCCCCGACCCGCCGGCACATGAGTGGATGTTTATTTCCCACTGAGAAGAGCTGCACACAGACCTGACTCCTATAGCTCCCACACTTGTTCCCACAGGTTTCTAATCCACATTCATGGCAGTTCTGTTAATGTGCCAGGCATTATGTTGGCTCCTGTCAAGGACATAAAAGCATCAGACCCCATCTCTGACCTCAACCAGGTGGGAGAGGGGATAAACTGCAGACGTTTAACAGTAAGATCTTTAAAATGCCATTGTAGACAATGGAAGCAGACACGGTATAAGTTCGCTATTTTTTTGATAATTCTACACGGCACTAAAAGCCAGAGAGCAGAGAACTTATGCATGCTAGAGGCTAGAGTAATGAGGAAAGACTTCTTGGAGGAGGAGGCTTCTAACTAGAGTTTTGAGAGACAGAGAGGATTTCGGGGGGCTGAAGAGGAGAGGAAATATGAGGAGCAGAAGACAGTGCTGGGAAGGCGAACCTATGGTCAGGATTGGTCTGTGTGTGACGCTGGCACATCTCGGGTGAGCCATCTCGGGTGCACTGGTATTGCAGTCTGGTCATTCTTTTCAGGTGTCTTGGCCAAGACCTGAACTTGATCATCAGGCAGAGACTTCTTCCTCCCAGATATTCAGACCTAATGACTCTGTATTAGTAAGAATTCTTTTGGTTGCAAGTGACAGAGACTCAACACTAACTTAAGTGGAAGGGGCTTTGTCTCTTAGAACTAGAAAATCCAGGGATGGAAGTACGTTAGCTTGCAAGATCGTCAGGGCACAGCTGCCTCTAGGGGCTCTGATATTATTTTACGGCTCTGTTTTCTCTCCCTTTTTCTACTCTTACTAAGAACCACTTTATAGGCTGGCTCTCAAGGCAAGGCAGGGAAATGGCTGTCCAGGGCCTGAGATTCACATTCTCTGAGGTTATCAACCCCAGTGGAAAGAGTAGAAGTTTCCCTCCTATTCCCTCTTCATACCCCCTTGTTGGGATCCCTGACAAAAGAGGTAAAAGAGGTTCACTGACAGAGTCCCAAAGTTGGCTGTCCTGTGGGGAATACCTGTGCTGTTTGGGGTGCCCCCAAAAGGCTGAAAGGACAGTATGTGGGAGAAGGCAAGGCTGTGCTACATTGTTCTGGAAAACCCCATTCCCTGTTATGGACTTCACAGGTTGAGACATGTCCCCACTTCTTCCCATCCGTAACAGCTAGATTCTTTTCATAGGAAAACAAATGGTTAATTGCTGGGAAGGCTTGTGTAGGGACAACAGGTATCTATCACAGGACACTGCAGCAGGGTTAGTAACTGGATAAACATCCAAAGGGATGTAGGTGTTTCAGGAGCAGGGTCTAGCTCAGAAGACTGGGTTACGCTGGTATGCCTTTATACCATGGAAAATTCAAGAAATGGATTTGGTGATGAGCAGAACAGAATCCTTGCTGCAGGCCAGAACTCACTTAAAGGGCTTGGGTGGCAGCTTCAGGACCGTAGGACTGTAGAGCAAGGACACAGTAGGTGTCATCCTCAGGAAGAGCAAAATCTCAGAGCCTAAGGCTGCCCTGGACTCAATATTGGGTGGGAATTGAAGGCATTTCTACACTGCTCATTCTCTGCTTTTGAATTCTCAGTAGGCAGCATGCTCTGGAGGCCCCAGGATAAGGGAGCGGCAGCTACCAGTCACTCCGGATCAGAATCATAGAGGAAGAAAGCGAGAGGAGACCTAGGGCAGTGCTGTCCAAAAGACCTTTCTGTATTCATGGAAGTGTTCTGTATCTGCAATTCCCATTATGGGAGCCACATAGGGCTACTGAGCACTTACGGTGTGGCTAGTGCAACTGAGAAATTGAATTTTTGATTTTATTTAATTGAAATGAGATTACATTTCTATGGCCACCTCTGGCTAGTGGCTATGGGCTAGATACTAAGTCTTAGAGAACATCCTTCCTCCATGCACCTCCAGGGCTTGGAAGGGAAAAAGGCAGGATAACTTGGAATGGAACATCCCAGTGAACGATCTACGTCAGGAAAGGCAGATGGCGCAGAATTGGGAAATGAGGAAGACCCCTGGTGTCAGCCTCCTTCCTAGACACAGACATCAGTTGCCTGAACTCTGGCAACTGTCACCTAGCCTCTCCCCCTGAGAGCCACTGCTTCTGAAAAGAACCTCATAAAAGGTCATCTGAGGCTACCAGGTGGCTCCAAAGCCACAATCCAGTGAGGAAGGAAATAACTTCCACACCTCGCAATAGACCCATAGGGAACACCCTCCCCCCATGATATGGGAGACCCCATATCCCACGACTCTTCCCCCACTATGGAAAGTATCTCATGCTATGCCTGAGGACCCCATTAATGGTCAGGTCCCTAAGGGTTTTCAGTTCCACATGTGTTGACTGAATGCTTTGCAGATCATCAGAGGAAAAGCTGAACTTAAATAATTTCCTGTCCAAGAACAATCTGTCACCTAACACAGTAGGAAACCATCCAAGCTAGCCAGCAGAGTGACATGGCCCCACCCACAGCCTCCAGCCTAGAAAGGGATCTGGGCTAGCAGGACAGTCAGGGACTAGGTGAAAGAGTCCTGATAACCCAGAAGAGACCTAAATGAGCCCTGCAAATTAACAGCAAGGCACAGGCCCAAGACCAAAAGGAGAAAATGAGCTGGTGGGAAAGGCAGACAGTTAATCAGGTGGAGACTTGTCTTCCCACTGAACTCAGATCACAGCTTTGCCCAGCTACCAGAAGCCAGGCCAGGGCACTGGGTAGATTCAGGCAGGGCTGCAAGAGCACCAGCAGAGGTGGATGGATGGCAAAGTGGACTACATGCCAGGCTTATGCCAAGTTGGCTCCTTTCTGTGCACTTTCCATGCTATTCCATGACTCCGCTTCACGCTTCCTCCAGCTTACAGACCATCCCCAGAAGTCAGACCTTGACCAACTCCCCAGCTGTCAGGAGGGTGAAGGCAGGAAGCCCTGGGCTTGCTCTGGCCCAGGAGGGACTTGAAACAAATTCTGGGCCTTTTCTGGCCATAGTTTCCGCATCTATTTGGGGTGTCCTTTTTTAAAATATAAATTAAGCTTGCATGCATATTCATTGCAACATTATTTGCAATACCCAAGAGGTGGAAACAGCTCAACTGTTCATCCATAGAAAAATGGATAAAGAAAATGTGGTCTAAAAACAAAAAAAAAAAAAGAAAGAAAGAAAAGAAAATGTGGTCTATATACACAATGGAGTATTATTCAACCTCTAAAGAAGAAGGAAATCATGTTACATGATACAATGTGGATGGACCTTAAAGACATTATGCCAAGTGAAATGAGACAAATGTTGCATGCTTCCATTTATATGCGGTATCTAAAGTTAAGTGAAATTCATAGATACAGAAAGTAGCATGGTGGTTGCCAGGGGCTGTGGGGCGGGAGAAATAACGAGTTGTTCGATGATTATAGAGTTAGTTCTGCAAGACGAAAAAGCTCTAGGGATTTGTTGCACAAATCTAACCAATTCACAAATGTGAATATGGTTAACACTGCTGGACGGTACATTAACAGTAGTTAAGATGGTAAATTTAGTCACGTGTTTTTAAGCCAAAATCAAGGGTCAGACGCTCAACCAACGGAGCCTCCCAGGCACCCTTATCATTGTAACTTTAAACAGCGTGCTTAAAGCTCGCTTGGTTTTTGGTTGGGTCCATGTTCCGCAGTCTCCTTGCTCAGTGAAATGCGTTCATCACCTGGCTTTCCACAGAGATGTCCCCTTCGGACCCCAACTTCTGCCAGCTGTATTTCTACATTTATATTGTTGCAGTTGATAGCATTTAATTCCATCTTTCTCTTTCACAGTCGATTGATTCCAGAAGTTGAAAACTAACCCACCACGCTTACATAATTGTGACTCTGTGGGTATGGTTATCTCAGTGTGGCAACGCTACATTACGCACCCCGTGGGTCCACTGTCACAATGGAGAGGACCTTTGAAAAGGCGCAGAGGACAGCTGGTTGGGAAGGTGTTTGGTGCATAGGAGGGCGCGGAACATGATGGGTTCCCACACTTGAGCAAATGTGTCATTTTTGCGGATTCCTCACAGTTAAAACAACAATCAAATAAGGGCAGAGATCATGGAGCCCACCATCCTAAAGGAACTAGACTGTTGCCAAAATGGGAAGGTCCCCTGTGATCCACCCAAATAAAATCTTCCCACCAGCCAGCCTACACGACCTCTATAATTAGCAATTCGCTCCTTTGCATTAAGCAAAGCCCTCAACGTGGTGTCATCTAATATGCAAATATTCCTGGGAGGGCTGCCACACTAAGTGGCTGACAGCTAGGTGCCATCCAGTCTTATCAGATAGCCGCTTTCCTGTGTGTCAGGAAGGGCGAGCCGGAGTTGGCTCTGATAAGCAGGGCCCCAAGCAGATGCTGTGGCCTGAGCCCGCCCTCCCTGGAAACCGGAGTGGGTGACGGCTGAGCTCCCCTCACGTTATAGCTCCCACTCTCACCGGTGACCCAAGCAGCTCTCCCAGGCCTGGGAGGCTGGTGTCAGGTAGCAGTGGAGGAACCTGAGGTACCACCGTGGCTCCAGCTGTTCCACCTCGCAACCCAGGCCTGGGCCTCCACCTGCCCCGAGCCAGTGAGGAAAAGGAGGGGACAGATAGAAAGATAACCAGGGAAGAAGGCTGAGGCTCCCAGGTGGCTCCAGGGAAAACCTGAAGGGGCGTTGGAAAAGAAGTCAAGGGGGGGCCCTGCCCGTCTCAAAACTCTGGGGTTGGCCTAAACTGAGGAACGCTCTTTCCACTCCCCGTTTTTCCGTCCTAGCTGGTGCAAGAATGATTTGCTTTGTGTCTGACTCCACCATATGCTGCAAGCTCCCTGAGGGCAGGGCCTGCCCCGTCTTGTCTCCACATGTCTTATCCCCAGCACAGTACGCAGCGGGTTGTGTGTGTGTCCAGCCAACGTGTGCTGACGGAATGGAGCATGAGCCCTATGCTCTTTGGTTTGCAAATGCCCTTCTCCCCAGCAGATCTAGAACTTATTTTTCACTGTCCTTGTGCATCCGGGCAGTGTTAGCTCGTTACATGTGGGTTGAATCCATTTGAAACGTTAAGAATTAAAAGGTAAGGATTGCCTCTTTGGCCAGTGCAAGGGTCTTCTGGGTTGCTTTATGGCGTGCATGTAGCATAGTTTATCAGACTTCTTGCAGCCCAAGGTTGCCTATTAAGAGAAGGAGTGACCCACCTGCCAGGAAAAGTGGCTTTTTGGTGTCCATTTGACAGTATTTACAATATTCTTTAAAAAAAAAAAAACTTAGGGGCGCCTGGGTGGCTTGGTCGGTTGAGCGTCCGACTTCGGCTCAGGTCATGATCTCACCGTCCGTGAGTTTGAGCCCCGCGTCGGGCTCTGGGCTGACAGCTCGGAGCCTGGAGCCTGTTTCAGATTCTGTGTCTCCCTCTCTCTCTGCCCCTCCCCTGTTCATGCTCTGTCTCTCTCTGTCTCAAAAATAAAAATTAAAAAATTTTTTAATGTTTATTTATTTATTTATTTATTTATTTTTGAGAGAGAGAGACAGAGAGACAGAGACAGAGCACAATTGGGGAAGGGCAGAGAGAGAGAGAGAGAGAGAGAGAGAGAGAAAGAGGGAGAGAGAGAGAGGGAGACACAGAATCCAAAACAGGCTCCAGGCTCCGAGCTGTCAGCACAGAGCCTGACATGGGGCTTGAACTCACAGGCCAGGAGTTGAAGCCGGACCCTCAACTGACTGATCCACCCAGGTGCCCCAACAGTATTTACAGTACTAATGGATATCCCTCAGACCTGTGGGAAATGATGTCTATAGAAAATTTTTCACTGCAGCTTTGTTTGAAATAGCAAAAGGCTGGAAACAACCTAAATGTCCCATCCATTGAGATGTAGTTAGTAGATGGTGGTACTTCCATATGGTGGAATCTGATGCAGCCATAAAACAGAGAGGAAGCCCTTTATGTACTGATATGAAACACTCTCCAAGATATATTGTCAAAACTGAGGGAAGTAAGACTCAGAACAGTGTTTGTGGAAGAAAGGAAGAAAAAATAATATGTGCATGCATGGTTACTCATTATATAAAAATGTTTCTGGAAAGAAACATAAGAACCTGGTAACATCGGTTGTGGGAAAGAAGGGGGGGGTTGGGGACCCGGTAGAAGGGAAACATCACTGCGTACCCTTTTCTGCCTTTTGAATTTTAAATCATGTAACTGTAACTTATTTGTAAATGTAAATACAATTACACTTTTATTTTTTAAATTATTTTATTTATTTATTTGAGAGAGAGAAAGAGTACAAGTTGGGGAGGGCCAGAGAGAGAGGGCCGGGGAGGAATCCCAAGCAGGCTCCGCACCGTGCAGAGCTGGACTCAGGGCTTGAACCCATGAACGGCGAGATCATGACCTGAGCCGAAACCAAGACTTGAACCCTTAACCGAGTGAGCCACCCAGGCACCCCTACAAGTACATTTTTGAATAAATAATAACAAATGCCTCTTGTATGTCAGGCTATATCTTTCAAATCCATCTTGTAGTTTTAGCACAACTCTGTGAAACACATAACATAATCCCCATTTTCCAAGTGAGACAGTTGAGACTTGGAGAAATAAAGCACGTACCTCAGTTCCCACAGACATAAAATAGGGGAGCTGGGATTTAACAGGAAATTCAGGCCGGCTTCTAGCCCCTGTGCTTCCGTCTCGGGGCCCAACTGCTTCCTGTCTCGTTTTCCTTCTCCCAGCAATGGGTGCTTTATCCCAGGGGGGCCATTTGTAAGCCCACTAAAGAGCCGACTCAAGGAAGGCCCTGCTTAGGCACAGCAGAGTCCTAAACAGGGAGGTTCTGGGAGCTTGTATGAGGCTGTGTGTGTGTGTGTGTGTGTGTGTGTAAGAGACTATTATGGGTGTATGTGGGCATGTGTGAATGTGTGCACATGCGTGAGTGTGCAAGCCTTGTGTGAGTGTGTGAGCATGTGACTGTGTAACTTGTAAAGTGTGTGTGTGAACGTGTGAACATGTGTGTGAGTGACTGTGGAAAGCGTGTGGTTGTGTGTGAGTGTGACTGTGTGAACAGTTATGAGTGTGTCAAGAGCGTGTGGTTGTATGTGAATGTGTGTACGTGAGACCGTGTAAAGTCACATGTGTGTGAGTGATTGTACAGAGGCCCGGGAGGCGTGATGGGGGGGAAACCAGTCACTGAGGCGGGCGGAAAGCTGAGGGGACCGTTGAATGGGAGCCTCTGTGGGGAGCGGGAGGGGAAGGCAGGGCAGGGGCGGGGCCAGTCTGGGTGGAGCTGAGGGGAGAGGCTGGGAGAGAAGGCCCCACGGCAGCCGGCAGCCGGCCAGATGGCTACAGGAGCTACCACGCCCTGGGGGGCTGCAAGTCTCCACTGCACTCCTCAAGCCAGGGACCCAGGAAGCAACATCCCTACCCCAACATTCCATCTGGGCCCACCTAACCGGGTGAGACCCAGCAGGGACAGTCACTAAGCGGGTGGGATAACTTGGGTGAAGCTGGAGGTACAGCTGAGAGAGTCCATGCACGTCGCAGCTGGCAAGCTGCTTCCCTCTGCCCTCCATGCCCCGTAAGTTGTCACTCCCGCGCCCAAAGCTAGAGCTGCAGAGACAGACAGGCCCCCTGCCTCCACCCTGGTCAGACTGCAGGGAGGGCATGAGGCCGGGGAGGGGAGGACAGGGGAGAGGGGGATGAGTCTGGGAAGGGTGGAGGGACTGGAGGGAAAGGGGGATGTTCTAAGAACAGGTTTGGTGTGGCTGTGTGCAAACTGCGGTGCCCTGAGGGCTGAGTGATTGCACTGCTGGCTGCTTCCTCCCCATCCCGCCGGAGCACCTGGCACCCTCCATGCCTCGGCTTGGCCAGATGTGCCAGACTGACTGCATTGGGTCCAGATGTTGATGTGGCAGTCCAGCCTCTATCCTGACCATTGCTGCCACTGTGTGTGTGTGTGTGTGTGTGTGTGTGTGTGTGTGTGTGTGTATACACTATGTGAGCAAGTGAAAGGGGTCCTGACAAGAGATTTTCTTGCCCCTGGAGCCGAGGGAAACATCATCTCCTCTTGATGGTCTTAAAAAAGCCTGGGTCTCCAGGGAAGGGCACTGTTATGGGCTGAATTTTGTCCCCCAAAAGATGTTGAAGTCCTAACCCTCAGTACCTGTCAATGTGACTTTATTTGGAAATAAGATCTTGGCAGACGTAATCCAACACAACTGGTATGCTAACAACAGGGAAATTTGGTTACAGACACTGACACGCGCACAGAAGGACACCACGTGAAGATCTGGCAGAGACAGGATGATGCATCTACAAGCCAAGGAGCCCTAAAGATTGCCAGCAAACTACCAGAAACTAGGCAAGAGGCATGGAACAGACTCTCCCTCACAGCCCTCAAAAGGAACCAACCCTATCAACATCTTGATCTCAGACTCCTAGCCTCCAGAAGCAGGAGACAATAAATGTCTGTTGTTCTGGGCCACCCAGTTTTGGGTGCTCTGTTACGGCAGGCCTGGGAAACTAAGACGGTCACAGGAACACGATGACCAAGCACGTGTACTTAACCTGAGACCCGAGTTTGACTTCCAGCTGCGGCGTTTACTAGTTTTGCCCCTTTGGTCAAGACAACTGAGGGGCACCTGGGTGGCTCAGTTGGTTAAGCAGTTGACTTCATCTCAGGCCAGGATCTCAAGGTTCATGAGTTTGAGCCCCACCTCAGGCTCTGTGCTGACAGCTCAGAGCCTGGAGCCCACTTCAGATTCTGCGTCTCTCCCTCTCTCTGCCCCTCCCCCACTCATGCTCTGTCTCTCTCTCAAAAATAAGTAAACATTAAAAAAAAAACAAAACAGTCGAGTCCTCTAAGCCTTCATTTCTTACACTTAACATGGGCCTGGCAGGAGCACAGCCCTCCTAGAGCTGTCATGAGGTTCCGGTTTGGCCCAGTGCTTGGCACCTGCCAGGGCTATTACTGCAATTAAGAACACACCTGTTTTTCAGGGTCTCTGTCAAAATTCCTGATGACAAAATTTTCTCCAGCCTGCACAGAAAGTCCAAACATGAGAAGCCAGAAAAGGAAAACAGTAGAGAAAGTCATATTTGGGGAGAGCCCATTGTACCAGGCACGGTGTCGTGTGCGTTCCAGAAAAATCTAACTTTGAGCACTCGAAGACTTGGAAGTG